GCGGGGCTCCGAGGAGCTGCGACCGCCGAGCGCATCGGGGGTCGGGCACACACAGGCGCCGCGTGGCGATGCCGGGTGGGCGCGGTGGTGCGGTACGGGGACTCTTTACCGGAAGTCGGAAGGGTCGGACGGAAGCAGAACGTGAGACGACCCCGGGGCCGGGAGGGACACGTGAGGAGCGGGCGCCGCGCTGGGCTGCGTTCGCGGGGGTCGGGTGAGGGCCCGGCCGGCGGCCCTGCCCGGATCCGCCCTCCTCGAGGCGGATCTGCCCTTCGGGAGGGCGTGTCTGTCTTCGCCCTCAGGGCCGGCCTAGTCTAGAGGACGGGAGGGAAGTGTTTCTTCCCCGCCCCCCAGTAATCCTTCGGCGTCCTCAGACTACTGGGAGAGTGCGTGTTTACCCCCACCTGATGCAACCTCGAACGTGGACTGCGAGGCCCTTCAGGGCGGAGATTCTGTCTTGCTACGTAAGAAGCATCTAGAACACAAGCATCCCATAGTTGTCTTTGTATCCGCAGCACCTGGCACACAGTAGGCTCCCACCGCGTCACTGGATGTCTAAAATAAAGGCAGTCCTTTTCTTCCCTGCCAAGACTAACAGTCTTGGGAGTCGAGCAACCTCCCAGGGCACCTACATCTGATTACCTTTTCCCCACTTTTTCCACCTCAGCAGCACACAGTAGCCAGAAAACTCTTTTGGGTATCTGACCTTCATTTGAACCCATTTTCCCTCACTTGAACTTCTTTTTTCCTCATTCATGAGACTCAAAAGGAAATGTACGTGATTGGTAGAGCTATGGATAATGGGGTCTCCCTTAGTGGAGACAGAACAGACCTCACAAGAATGTGTGAACTTTAGACCTTGGCCCCTTTAGAAGTTTTACTTTAACTTAGATTGCTAGCCAGCACAGTAGTCCGTTTTTTAAATATGTTGCAATTAAACTGGAAGCAAGTAGATTTTTTTTTTTGAGTGAAGAATTGAGTTTTTTGGTTTTTTTTTTTTTAAGTAAAATTACTTAAGGAAATGATTTGGGGGGGGACAATAAAATTCCCTCAATCTAACCAGAATTGTCAGATAAAGGTAAAGACATAAAAAAAACTTGGAGAATGATTAAACCACTAGTCTCCAGTAGCTAAATTGAAATTAATCTCCTAGATAGTCCAGGCAAAAACTATCATTACATTCTGCAAATAAGTGAAAAGTAGGAAATTAGCTTTATCTCCCCATCTGAGGTAAAAGGTTGAGAAGAAAAAGTATTATTTTAAACCAACAGTTGCAAAATCCTTTAAAATTTAACCCAAAGGAAATTGAGATTAAAAAACCAGATGAGAGGGGCGCCTGGGTATCTCAGTCTATTAAGCCTCAGCCTTCAGCTCAGGTCATGATCACAGGGTGGTGGGATAGAGGCCTGCATGGGGCTTCCTGCTCAGCCAAGAGTGAGAACCCTTTCCCTCTCCCTCTGCCCCTACCCACTTCGTTCTCTCCCTGTCTCTCAAATAAATAAATAAAATCTTTAAAAAAAAAGAAGATGGACCATAATAGAAATACAACCAACTTTCTCTGGTTTGATGATTTGATAGTTAACCATATCTGGACCCATGATCCCATCAATCTTAGCACCAAACTGTAGACAGGTGGGAGATAAAAGAGAAGAGGAATAAGAAAACCTGAAGCTGACAGCTGAACTTGATTTCATTTAGGCTGAGAAAGTTTTTACCCACTATCATTTAAAATATATTTAATAATTTATCGATTTATAATTTACATATTATAAAATTTACCCATTTTTGTATACAATTCAGTGATTCTCAGTGAATTCACAGCTATGCAACCGTCACCATTAATTTCAGAACATTGCCATCACCCTAAAAGGATCCTTATACCCATTTGTAGTTACTCCTGGTTCCCATTCTCAGCCCCAGCAACCACTAATCTATTTTCAATGGATTTATCTATTGTAGATATTTCATATACATGGAATCTAACAATAGGTGGTCTCTGCCTTCTCTCACTTGGCATATGTTAATGTTTTGGTGGTTTATTTATGTCATAGCATGTATCAATATTTCATTACTTCTTATCACTGAGTAGTATTCCATTGTATGGATATATCACATTTTGTGTATCTACTCACCAGTTGGTGGGCCTTTAGATTGTTTCAAGTTTGGAGCTATTATGAATAATGCTGCTATGAATGTTTCTGTAAACTATGTCCTCATGTGGATATATGTTTTCATTTCTCTTGAGCGGATGCCTAGTAATGGAATGTTGGGCTGGTATGGTAAATTTATATTTAACTTTTTAAAGATACTATCAGGGCGCCTGAGTGGCTCAGATGGTTAAGTGTCTGTCTTCAGCTCAGGTCATGATCTCTAGATCCTGGGATTGAGCCCCATGTTGGGCTCCCAGCTCAGCGGGGAGTCTGCTTCTCCCTCTCCCTTGCCCTCTGCCTCTCCCCCTGCTTGTGCTCCCTCTCTCTCAAATGAATAAATAAAATCTTTTTTTTTTAAGATTTTTATTTGTCAGAGAGAGAAAGAGCACAAGCAGGGGGAGCAGCAGGCAGAGTGAGAGGGAGAAGCAGGCTTCCCGCTAAGTAAGGAGCCCAATGTGGGACTCCATCCCAGGACCCTAGTATCATGACCCGAGCCGAGGGCAGATGCTTAATCGACTGAGCCAGCCAGGCATCCCTGAATAAATAAGATCTTAAAAAAAGATACCATCAAACTCTTTTCTAAAGTGACTGCCATTTTACATCCATACCTGGAATGTTTGAGGGTTTATCATTAAAATTTCTGCTTTTATATTAAAATGGAAACCAAGAGAACCTCTACCGTGGAGTCTAGTCTATATACACACCCTTTTTTCCTTTGTCCAAGGAAGATCACCACCCAAAACCAAGAAATATGTTTTATTGCAAACCCTTCGCTTCCATTCTAGACATATAAAGATGTGGCTATTTAACAGCAACTGTGACATCAGAGTGCTCTAGCTTTAAATGTAAACATCAGGATAATGCCCCTTAAGACAAAGTGGTGTGTGGAGTGCCTGGGTGGCTCAGTTGGTTAAGCCTCCAGTTCTTGATTTCAGCTCGGGTCATGATCTGAGGATCCTGGGATCGAGCCCTGCATCGCATCAGGTTCTGCACTCAGCGGGGAGTCTGCTTGAGATTCTCTCCCTCTGCCCCTCTCCCCACTCACATACACACATTTCGAGCTCGCTCACACTCTCTCTCTTTAAAATAAATCAATCTTTTTTTTTTTTTAATGGTGTGGTAGGCAGCCTGTAAGACCACCCATGTGGGGGCACCTGGGTGGCTCAGTCAGTTAAGCATCTGCCATCGGCTTGGGTCATGATCTCAGGGTCCTGGGATCCAGCCCCGCATCGGGCTCCCTGCTCAGCAGGAAGTCGGCTT